CAGAATAAACGGACAATCAGACTAAAACGTGAAAAGATGCCAGTCAGAATATTCTGATTCAGTAGGAATGGAATGAAACTGTAATCTGACTGAGAGGATTGGTTCCTGCTGATTAACCATCCAATCAACATGTGAACGCTGCAGGAACCAGTTCTTCTGAATGAGTCAAACTGATCAGAGGGCCGTTACGCACGTCAGCGTGATGCATGTCCACCTAGAGTGGCTAATCACCCTGGCTAGCTGTTATCAATATATTTCTGTCTGCAGGTTTACAGACACCGTGTTTCATCCCAGTTTCTAATGTCCATGTAAACATTACTGACTGATTATTATTATCATGCTTTGATTTCAAACACATTTCAATGCAGTCATGAAATGTTGTCTATGTAAACATAACAGTTTATAATTTCATTCTGAATCAGGATCATAATATTTATGTTTACATGAAATTATTTCAGTTGGACATTTATTCCCATTACTAATATTCATGTAAATGCAGCTAAAGACACGACTGATCATAAATGGCTCCTCAGATCTCTCGGTATTGATGCAAACACAAGATTATTGTAACAATAAATATATCTACAAATAATTTGATTTTTTTTTATTATAGTTTAACATAATATGGTTCCCCACAGTGGGGATATTCAGGTGTGTGAACAAAGCAAATAGGTATTAAAAGCATTCAGTGACATAAAAGATAAAAAAATGTTGAAAAGAACAAAAAACCATAAAGCGAAGAAAAAAACATGTTTTTTCTGTTCTGACAAACCAGGAATGTTAAGCTTTTGGTAAACAAAAATCAACCTATCACACACACACAAAAAATTAAATAAAATAAAACAGCTGCATGGATTTTAAAGAAAAATGTCTGAAAGCTGAGAAACTAACAGCAGATATAAATAATTTATTGGGGCTATTGGAAGCAGGGTTTGCCTGCGAATGGGAGGAAATGAGGAAAGATGTGCGCTAGTGTTCCTCTGTGCACCAATAGTGCAGCAGTTATTTGTTATTTTAAGTCTTTGTCATCATGAACTGATATAATCTAACTGTGCTCCTTTAAACAAGCTCAACATTCGATTATAAGGCAATACTTGGAATTCTGCATGGGTTCTAAAGTTGTTGAGAAGTGTTGACTTCTAAAGTCTCAGCTCACTGAACCCCTTCACACCCATTGTTGCAAAGATGCAACAAACCTTCTGTATTACGTAGACGGCCAAGGTAGCTTGGTCATTCCCCCAGTGCCAAATATTTCACATTCAGCTTGGACCCAAGAACAAACTCTAGTTTCTGTTACAACTTGTTCCTTTAAGTGTCTATTATAATTGACCATTATAGATGTTGCCACAAATGTTTTATTTCCCTACATTTCTATTGTTTTTTTGTTTTTTTATAAATTGAAAGGTTAAACATTTCAATTAGGAAACTCGTTTAAAGGGAACATTGATTTTTATACATGTTTATATATATGTGTACATAAATTTGGACATCAAATGGTTAATTTGTTGCTTCTTTTTGTCCTTTCTGCTCAAAATGAACCGAGTAAAAAAACTTCTGTTCACTCCATCAGCTTGAAACTAACATCATCTTGCTGAAAGATTTTAAATGCAAACAAAACTTCTGATTTTCGTAACTTTGCCAGTTTTTTCATCATTTGTTGTTGAATTTTTCCCTTTAACTGTGCAACTATGATTGTGTTTCTCTTGTTAATCAAAAACATAGACTTTATCCTATAAAATAAGGTTTAAATGAAAAAACAAAAAACAAACATAAGACGTTTTTAATTCTTCTGCGGGAATGAAATGACTGACTATCAAACCTCCTATCAGCAGAGGGCTGCTGGATCTGGTTCTGCTGAAGGTTTCTTCCAGGTTAAAGGTTTGTTTTCTCTCTACTGTGGATACATTGTCATGTAGGACGAGTAAATCCTGCAGAATGAACGACTGGATGCTATCAGTCGGGTTTTTCTTTGAAAAATTAAATGTATTATTAATTTGGCCTGAACCAAATATTTATTTCTTGTTTTTTGAATAACAATCTTTCAGATCTTCTTCACAGTTCAGAGTGACCTGCCCCCTCCCTGCAGTACTGATGGCAGTGGCAGCTGGCCAATAGAGGACGCTAAAGCGCCGGGTCACTCACCCAATGACCTTAATTAGGACATTAAAAAAACAACTAAATATTCAAATTGCCCATAGACTTTGGTTAAAAGTTGTCCATGCGAAGCCGCTCCTCTTCAATGCTAATATAGGAGCATCCTGGGGAGCAGCTCTCCTGCACCCAGAGCTGAAAGCAAATTTATTTGCTCACCACCTCCCTCCACAGTGCTGACGTCACAGTCACCTGTTAGAAAGTGAGGCAGATTAACAGGTTTATAGGATTATTTAGCTACCAGGCTTTTCTAACTGCATGCAGCGAGGCTAACGCTTTATTCTGCTTTTCTTGGCTCCTTTTTCAAAATGTCAGGATCTGATCCAGCCTGGATTAAGGCAGCTAGGACTGATTTAAAGCACTTTTCAGAACATTTTAGAATGTTGTTTAAATATACTGGTGTGAAACCTTAGTATACATTGTTTGGTTTTTGGTTCTTGTCTTTTTCGAAGTTATAGGAGAAAAGTCCAACAGCCGCCACTGCCTGAAATTACATTTCATAGCTGTAAAGTAGTAGAAAGCAAAGTTTAAAACCCTTTGGTGCATAGCGGTCACTACAGTGGACAGATATTTAGATGTCATTGTTTCCTAAATGCAGTGGTGTGTGTGGTGGTATTGCATATCAGTCCTTAGAATGCTCTCTACTGCTCCCCTCCACTGAGGTTAATTCAGTGGCAAATTGTTGTAACTACAAGTTAATGACATCGGAGTCCAAGATGGCCGGCAGACAGACACACTCAATGACCTCTCCTGGAATATTCTCTCAATCTTTCTATTCTCTGAGAATCCTAGAGATAAAAAAAATATGCTGACATGCAGGAGCATCTAGGTAACAGTATTATTAACTTAGTTTGGAAAATTTTATTTCACGCAAGTAGAAAATTGCGATTAACCATGTGTCCAACACAGTGGACATCATGCATTGCTGACTATATTTTTAACATGAGTCATGTAGTTGATTTATCTTTCATTATAACTGTTTTGCTTCCAGTTAAATTCATTTTGAGTATAACTATGTTAGTTTTAAAAATAAACCTTGGCATCTATGGCACAGATACATGCAGAAAAAACAGATTGAAAGGAGTAAGTCAGAAACC